GGCATTATCATCCAGTTCTTTAATTTCACTTGTATTTTAAGGCAAACTTGGAACTTTTTGCTTAGTATTTTAAAATAAACAGGACTTACACATGGTAACTTGACAAAATTAACAATAAATTATCTCTAGTTAAATATGTGTAATATAAAAAACATGTGAATAACAATTCTTCTCTGCAGAGATGTAAACTGGATTTTTATTGATTCCAAATTCACACCAGTAAGAAAACTTGTAAACCTGTTTTATTTAAAACTTACGTTTCTCACTCTCTTCAAATAAATGTATATCAACACTGAGTCAATATACTGTAAGAGAAAATTCAATATATATCCAACCACAGAATAATCACATCTAAATAAATTACATCTAATTAAAGTGCTGTTTACAAAGAAAAAAAAAAGGTTAAGAAGTAGAACTGGATGTGACCTTGACATATGACATCTTATACTTTCAGACTATAGAGGTTATAGAGGTTATCACAAGTTTATTGAAATTTAAGCAGTAAATTTATTGTAGAATCTGATTTTCCTGAAAATGAGCACTTAGGTGACAATACCAGGAATCTAACACCAAAATGCAAAATAAATACAGTATTATATGTACATATATTTTCCTCAATGTTAGCCAGAGCCTTGATACTAGAGATAATTTTTAAGTTTCTATAATTCCATTTTTCTACTAGAAAATACATTACCAATTCCAGGAAAGTTGAAGTTCTATAAACATTAGGTTTGTTAAAATTATTTTTCATGCCAGTAAAAGCTAATGGACACAAAAGAACTGTTTATACATAAAATGGGTCTCTAATCACTTCCTATGCTGTTGGAGATAAGGAATTAGATTCATACTTTAATAATAATTTAGGTACAGGTCTCCTCCACTATATTTTACTGAGTAAAAGTTTGTTATTTATGCATCGAGCACAGTGTCTCATACATATAGCAGACACTCCACGTCAAACTATCAAAATAATTTTTCAAAATCTAATGCCATTTCCTATCACCTGATTCAACTTCCTATAACTTAATATTCATTCACTGTTGTTGTGTTGTTAGGTGCCATCAAGTTGGTTCCAACTCATAGCAACCCTGTGCACAACAGAATGAAACGCTGCCCGATCCTGCACCATCCTCACAATCGTTGCTATGTTTCAGCCCATTGTTACAGCCACCGTGCCAATCCATCTCCTTGAGGTCTACCTCTTTTTTGCTGATGCTCTACTTTACCAAGCATGATGTCCTTCTCCAGGTAATGATCCTTCCTGATAACAAGCCTAAAGTACATGCAACCAAGTCTCGCCATCCTCGCTTCTAAGCATTCTGGCTATACTTCTTCCAACAGAGATTTGTTTGTTCTTCTGGCAGTCCATGGTATATTCAATATTCTTTGCCAACACCATAATTCAAATGCATCAGTTCTTCTTCAGTCTTCCTTATTCATTGTCGAGCTTTCCTATGCATATAAGGCAATTGAAAATACCATGGCTTGAGTCAGATGCATCTTAGTCCTCAACATTTTAAAAACGTCTTTTGCAGCAGGTCTGCTCAACGCAATACTTCATTTGATTTCTTGACTACTGCTTCCATGAGCGTTGATTGTGGATCCAAGTAAAATGAAATCCTTGACAACTTCAATATTTTCTCCATTTATCATGATGTTATGGGGATTTTTGTTTACTTGCTGTTGAGGTATAATCCATACCGAAGGCTGCAGTCTTTGACCTTCATCAGTAAGTGCTTCAAGTCCTCTTCACTTTCAGCAAGCAAGGTTGTGTCGTCTGTGTACCGCAGGTTGTTAACAAGTCTTCCTCCAATCCTGACGCCCCATTTTTCTTCATATAGCCCAGCTTCTTGGATTATCTGCCCTGCATACAGACTGAATTAAGTATGGTGAAAGGATACAACCTTGACGCACACCTTTCCTGATTTTAAACCACGCAGTATCCCTTGTTCTGTTAGAACTGCCTCTTAGTCTATGTACAGGTTCTGCATGAGCACAATTAAATGCTCATTCTTCGCAATGTTATCCATAATTTGTTATGATCCACACAGTCGAATGCCTTTGCATAGTCAATAAAACACAAGTAAACATCTTTGTGGTATTCTCTGCTTTCAGCCAAGATCGATCTGACATCAGCAATGATATCCCTGGTGCCATGTCCTCTTCTGAATCCGGCTTGAATTTCTGGCAGTTCCCTGTCAATGCACTGCTGCCACCATTTTTGAGTTATATATCATTCATATTTAAGTAATATTAACAATAACATGGAATTTATATAAACATCCCTTAAACTACATTGAAAATCACTTACATGCTATACATACCCAACAAATATTAAATAGCAAAACATTTCTAACAGGTAGTTTTCTTAACGTAATTACAAAAGTCAATTACCTTGCAACTGATTAGACTAATTTCTATTTCCCACTGCCACTCTTTTCCAAAATATTTCTGGGCAATCTTAAATAGCTTCCCTTTCTTTGCCTGAATATGAACAGTTCCAATACCTTTAACCCTGGAAATTTATAACTAAATATTCTAATTCTTTTTAACATAGAAAATATGTGGCTTTTCAATTCACAACTTGCCAGAAGAGTATTCATGAGACTTCTCATAAAATTGTAGAAGAAGGCCCTATTGTAAAGTTTTTATTTATCAGGTCATACTAGTAGCTCCGGTTGTTGTGAATAGAACAGTACAGTTGGTTTAACATTTCTAAAATAAATGTATTTCTAAATTTTGAATGCTTTTTCTCTCCCCTTGACAGGTTTTCATAATTTGCTCTCTGGTATATGGTCCCTACTACTGCCCAAAATATTTAACATTTAGTCTTCACCAAGATGTAGTTTAGATTTTCAAAAATAATAATCAATATAGGCCTTTGATCGAATTTACCACGTGATTATATATTTTATACTAATTTGATATGAGGGATGATACATGAGTAAAACATTGTTAAAATAAAATGTACAGGGTAGATCTGTTCTTAAAATTAAAATAATTTTCTAAAGTCTCTTTCAAATTCTCCTACCTTTTGGAGGGAGGGGGCTAAAAATAGTATAACAGGATGCAGTTAATTTCATTGATATATACAGAAAGAAAACTGAGTTTCAGAATTTAAAACTAAGTATGTGGTGAAATCTATTTTAAATTGCTTTTCTTTAAATAAAGTCTAAGCCAACCACAGTAGTGCACCTTGTTTCTATTCAACATATTTAAATAAATTAAGTTATTGCTATATGTCATTGTTATTCAAACAAGTAATATAGAAAATACTCAGCCTGTTAATTTTATTAGTAGCTCCTGCTGAATTCTAAATTAGACGAGACTAAAAATCACCTGTAAGGTTTTATACTCTGTGCAAATATTCATAACGCATGATGCTACTTTTATGATTAAAGATGGTTTTACATAGTTTTGTAACATATATTCAAATCTACAACTGGCAGTTTATGGAAGAACAAGGAAAACTCCAAATTGCCTGTTTATAAATAGTTTTCAAGAAATAACATATGCTAACAAATGAACGTATGTTTTATAATTACAAATGGCTTCTTAATAATAGTTTAGAACATTATGGCACTTAAGAATGAAGTATGAATTTTTTCTTAAGAAAAAAATGTACACTGGCTTTCAGAGACTACAATGAGATAGTGGGCAGGTTAAAAAAATAAATCAAAGAAAAGAAAACAAAATGACTAGAGTACCAAAAATACAAGTACCAACGTCATAATAAAATGCAAGTTCATGTATTTAGACTAATATTTACTAAAACATGCTAAAATAAAATAAATTAACCACTTCTTTTAAATAAGGTGTCACTTGGCTACAGCAAACAATTTTGTTTTAAAGTATTTTTTTTTAGTCAAAATAAAACCAAATTTAGAACCATTACTCAAGTAAACATTGAGTTCCAGTTTTCCTCAATAACTGTAAAATATTCAGTTACCTAAGAAATGTACAAAGTAATGCATAACTGCCTATAGTGCTTTGTATTTAATGCATATATATCTGTTTTTTAGAAGGATATGTAATATAGACCATAAGAAGGAAACACACCAAAAATGCATCTTTGAATCACTACTCAGGAACCACGAAAAGGGTAACATTGGCCATTTAGATGATTTTTGGATGTTAACATTAGTGTAATCACTAGCATTTTTAATAACCACAAATGAATCAAGCCAATAAAAATGAAAAACACTATCAAAAGATGCCATGCATATATCTCCTACTGAACATCCAAAAAAAATCAGTTATAGCCTTGTTATAGATCCTACAGTTAGCACCATTTTTATATCTGAATACTTTGAAAAAGCAAACAAAGACCTTAAAAAACTAAAATTATAAGTATATATGAAAAAAAAAAACCAATATGCACTGAGGCTGGTACTAAACATTTCTCAAATATTTACATCAACACTGAGAAGCCTGCTGTAGTACTAAAGAAAAACCATGAAACAACAAATATGATTAACTCTTTCTACCCATGCTTATCATAGCATAGATGCGTAATTAAATTCATCCAGCACTAACCTGCCCATATTAAAAAAGGCATAAACAGTAAATTATCTGACTTCTTAAAACAGCCCCTAAACATCAAGATAATAAAAGCATTGGTCTTGCAAACTTATTACCATTTATCCCCAGGCCGAAACCCATTTAACAGGAAGAGTAACCAGATGACTCACAATGTCATGTTATTTACAACCCTTAAAAGTACCAAAAGAAAAAGCAGCCCTTTATTTGTTTAAAAAAATGTGAAGCATATGAATTTATATCCAACACACAGTATCAGCACTCTGTCCAGTCATTCAATACACTCAAGCATCTAAGCATCTTTCATTCCAGTAAATCACGGTGCAAATCAGAGGAGAGAGAGAGCAGAAGTTTAAAAGAAACAAAAAAAACCAGCAAGGTTTTATCCACATATACACGTATAAACATAAACTACTATATCCCAGTCTCAGGGGAAAAAAGTGAACAATTCAACTGGCAAGGTTTTTCCTTAATTTTTTTTTTTTTTGATTATTGATTTACTGTGTAATCAAGAGCAACCAAAGCTACTTGTCAAATCAAAGTACCCAACAAAATTTTGAGTCTTCAAGTCACTTCAAGTTAAAGAAAGCAATGCAGCTTTTGGGTCTCGAAAACTGGTCATCTTTTCATGTGGCACAAGTTTCGCCACCATACTATTTCCACAAATTCACGCTTGTCAAAGTGCAGTCAATCCAAAGTTACAGCGACAGTATATCATGCCAGCTGAATCCAGCCACACATCTGAGATAGGGTCATATTTCTGCACGGTGTTGAGATAGGATGACCCAGAGTGACCACCGACTACATAAAGGTAGTTATCAATTACTGCAGCACCAACTCCTAGGAAAGGTGGGAAAAGAGGTAAGAAACATATTAATCATGAAATAGGCTTCTTCACTGAAAACAAAATGAATTTACATTTTAATGTTTTCTTAAAACGTTTTACATTTCAGTAATATATAATTAATTATACAAGCAATATAGCAGTAGGTGTTCACTGGCGGGGGAAGGGGCTTACTATAAAAGTAAGAGTAAGAGTTGAAGTCTCCCTTCACCTCTATCCCCCCCTCCAACAGAGGCTTTCTTATCAATTTATATTTTATATATTTTTCCAGAAATCATTCATTTTATCAGGTTTTCAAGTATACTGAAATATTTCAAATTGATATTAAACTATATAATTTATGCTTTTAAAAATCCACTTTATTATCACTTGTAGTTCTAAAAAGAGTAAACTTACTCAAATTTTTAAGTTCTCATCATTTTCATAACTTTCCTTCTAAAGAATACCACAGAAACTAATTACAGTAAACACTAAAATAGTTCATTGCAACTATACCCCTTGGGAAGGAGAGAACATTTGAAAGCAAACATATGGACTGCTTGTGAACAATTAAAAAAAACCAGAACAATCCAATGCCTTTTTTGGGGGCGGTGCGGTGTAACACATAAAAACACAACATCCATTATACGGGGAAAAAAAAGAGCTTCTATAAGATACACTCTCTATTATCAGCATTTTCCAAAATGTGTTCTCCAAGTTTGGGAAACAATAATATGCACATTGGCTTATGAAAATCACAGTAAATAATTCTATATTGTTTTATATAATCCAGTTGTCTCTCAAGCTTATCACAAAACAAGCTTTTTTTTTTTTTTTTCTTGATAGGTAGTATCCTTACCGTTACATTCTAAGAAAGTATTGTGCTATATGTTTAGAAAATAATAAATTATTACCTGTTCTGGGTTCTTTCATCGGTCTACACACAGTCCACTGATTTTGATGAGGGTCATATCTTTCAATGCTTGACAAATGTGAAACACCGTTATGTCCGCCCACCACAAAAATAAAGCCTAGCATTACACCCACGCCAAAGTGAATTCTTTTATCTGCCATGGATGCAACCATTTCCCAGGAGTCCTTACTTGGATCATAACGCTCCACACTGCAGATATTCACCAAAAAAAAAAAAAAAGAATTAATTCACAGATCGTTTGTGTCACTCCTCCTACTAAAGCATATTTGTTAGAGAATTAAAAAACCTGAAAAACACCACAGTTTTAAAAGTCCAAGTAAATAGATATTACACAAGAGTGGTCTGTCCCAAATGTTTAGATTCTGCTGATAAGCCTTCCTTGTGGAGAAGGTGCAGTAATAACCATATGTTATTCCCTTACATTGCACAAGCAGTAAGGTATATTAAGATCATAGAACTTGGAGTCAGAAGACTTCAGTTCAAGTACTAATGCTACATACCTGGAGCTGAATGAACCTTAGCCCTATCACTTTGGATCTGTGTAATCCTAGATAAGTCATTTCCTCTCATCTGAAAAAATAGGGACAGTACAACCTCAAAGGATTCTCACAGGAATAAAATCAAATGAGTAAGCATGAGAAAGTACTTTGAAAACCATAAACTGAATACAGGTGTTTTCTAAGGAGACTAAGGATCTTCTACACAGTTAAGGAAAAGGGAAGTTGAAGAGGAGACAGTTTTTCTTTTTTCTTACAAGAAGGTTCATGGTGGTTTACTGCAATGCAACTCCTGGTGAGTCTATGATACAAACTAGCTGATTATAATAATCTCAAAGTGATTCATCAGGAGAATCCAGGGATTTAAGTTAGGTGTGCATTCCAGAGAACCCCTGGTATTTCCAAGCTGCCTTATGGAAATCCAAATCAAATCAGAAATTCTAAAAAAGCTCCCCTAAAAATTCTGGAAGCTCTTTAGGACTACTATGCTTAGCCCTAAAGGGGCACAAAAGCACAAAGGCAAGTTTGTTGAGCTTATTCTGGACCTGACCTAACTTCCTGAAAAAGCCTTAAGCATTTGAGAGGCTGTGCTATCATTCTGGAGTCCAGAATAGAGACTAGGTAACAGAATGTTTCTGAACGGCCACTGAGATAAAAACCATTAGGCCTAAATCACTGGACAAGAAGAGTTGGTAAGCTGTAGCAAGACATAAACATCAAGGACATTATCTCAAAACTAAAATATTTAACTTTTTATCGCATAAATTTCTGCAAGCAGCTTTTCAAATAGAAATGCATGCCTGGGCCCCAAATACTCTTCTTTTAGACTAACAGGGAAATAAAAAAAGAGTGAGAGTTTAGCTTAAAAAGAAATAACAATTTACAGATGAAAATGCTGTTATGCCATTACATTCTCAGTTAGCAAGCCAGAAGATAGTCTTTCGTTAAAATGCTCACAATCGATAAAATACATACCACTCTAATTACTATAAGAATTGGAATATTAATTTTCAACAAAAGTTCAGAATTGTGATTAATCTTCCACATAAGCACTTTATTTTTTTATTTTCTCGTAAGTATTTTCCCTTATTCAGAGTATACTCCAGAATATAGAAATCTCAAATTCAGCCTGTAGCAAAACTCAGACATACACGATGATTACAGAATAAGAATCCAGAAAGGAAGTTTAAATAAGGCTTTAAATTTATGATGCATTATAGTATCATATAGGCATACAGGAATTACATTTTTCCATTTCCTTATTCTATTAAGCAATGTAATAAAAGGCTATCTACCTGCCACCAGAAGTCATATTTGTCTAACTTCCTCTTATTTTCAGGTTTCTGAATTTTATAATCTAGTCCATTTACAGTGAATGAATGAATATAAGATTTAATAAAGAAAGATTTGTTTCTTAGGTTGTATTAAATTCCCAAGTAAAGTAATTACAATTATACTCATGGAGCAGATTAAATTTCCCAAAAGCCTATCAATATTACTTAAGCATTTAAAAAAGGAAGTTCATTCATACACATAAATTGTTTAAAACTCAGAAATCACTGTTAATGCTACTTTAAAAAATCTACACATATATACAATGTGATTATTAAGTTAAATACCTGTTCATGTGGGCAGGACCATACCCACCAATAGCATATATCATTCCATCCAATACGGCTGCAGCAAAACAACTTCTTGTTGTAGTCATTGGTGCTACAGGTTGCCATTTTCTTATTTTGGGAATATACTTCTCTACAGATTGTAAATAAGATTGTCCATCATAACCACCTAAAGCATAAAGTTCTCCTGCAAGTACTACCACTCCAAGAGTACTTCGGCTCTCATTCATTCTCTCTAGAGAAGTCCAGGTATTTGTATCAGGATTCCAACATTCTACTGAATTTTCATGTTTTCTGACAGTGATGCCAGCACGCAAAACATTAGTTTCAATACCACCTATAACATACACTTTTTGGTCTAAAACGCATATTCCAAATTCATAGCGAGGAATGTTTAGGGGTGCCAAACCAATCCAAGAGTCATTTTGAGGAAAATACATCTCCACACTAAAGAATAAGGAGAAAAAATTAAATTTTAAAAACTAAAATGGTCCATAAGAAAATAAAAATATATTTAATCTTATTAGTAATCAGGAATATGCAAATTAAAACCACAATAAACCATTACACACCTTCCATATTGGCAAAAATTTAAAGTCAGATAATAACAATTGTTGGCAAGTATGTGTAGCAATGAATGCATACTCTGTTGATGAGACTGTAAACTTTTGAAATTACTCTGGAAAACAATTTTATGTTATCTAATAAAGCTGAAGATCCACACATGGTGTGACCCAGCAATTTAATTCCTATGTATCTACTCTACTGAATGTATATTACAATCAGTTTTGCACCAGGACAAATATACAGAAATGTTCATAGTAGCAAAACAAAATCACCCATCAAAAGAAGAATGATAAATAAGGTACAGTATATGTGCCCTATGACTGACTAACTCCACTCCTAGATACGCACCCAAGAGAAATATATGCATATGTATAAGGCCGTTCACAGCAGCATTATTTGTAATTGCTAAAAACTGGAAGCAATTCAAATGTTCATCAACAGTAGAATGGATAAATTGTGGCATATCATAAAAAGAATGCTATATAGCAAAATGAACAAACTATAGCTACATGCAACAAGGATGAATCTTAAACATATAACGTTGAAGGAAAGAAGCTAAATTCAAAAGTACATATTCTATATGATTTCACTTATATCAAGTTCAAAACAGACAAAACTAATCTCTGGGCTAGAAATGAGGACAGTGGTTATCTTTGGGAAAGACTATGAAGGAGCTTAAGGGTGGCTTCTGGGTGCTGGTCATGTTTTGTTTCTTGAACTGGTTTATAATGTTCACTTTATGACAATTCATTGAGCTGTACACTTGGGATTTGTGCTCTTTTCTGTACATGTGTAACATTTTAACTTACAAAATTTTCACTGCAGAAAGAAAAACTGTATTGATATATATTAAAATACCATACATCAATGAAAGTAAATCAACTACATCTTCATGTGATCTCACTGATGAATTTCACAAATTTCCTGTTCAGAGAGAAAACACATCTCTGAACAATACATACAGTATAATATGTGGCAAAACTATAAAGAAAACCAAAGGGATTATACATAGAAAATTCAGGATGGTGGTTACTTCAGGATGGAGAGAGATGGCATCTAGAAGGGGCACATGGATGTCACATGAATAGATACATGCACACCCATGTTCATTGCAGCACCGTTCACAATAGCAAAAAGATGGCAACAACCAAGGTGCCCATCAACGGACAAATGGATAAACAAATTATGGTATATCCACACAACAGAATACTAGGCAATAATAAAGAACAACAGTGAAGCCATGAAACATAACATGTAGGAAGCTGGAGGTCATTATGCTGAGTGAATTAGTCTGTCACAGAAGGACAAATATTGTATAAGACCACTATTATAAGAACTCAAGAAAAGGTTTAAACACAGAAGAAAACATTCTTTGATGG